TCTCTAGATGCTAGTATGACCCTACTGGGGTTGCCTGAAGGAAACCAACAGTTCAGAAAGAACAAGTCAGCAACCACTCCCCTAGTGTCACTGAGGGGCCAGGAATGTCCTCTGCCCGAGGGTCAAAGACAGGGGTGGGGACAAGTCTGGCTAAAACTGGCCTCTTGGAAACAACAGGGCTGATTGTCCGGCAAGCCAGGGCCTAGGAGGACAACACTCACTTGCCAGCACCCCCGGGGCACCGACCCACCAGTGGGCACTCCACTTACGGAGGCAGGAACCCCTTCCTGGAGGGTTCCTAGGATGTGTACTACCTTGCTTTGCCTACCTGCAGTCTTGCTGGGTAAGGCTGTCCTCCTCCCTGGGCAGAGGTAGTAAGCCGTTCTTCAAGCAAGGACTTACAACTGTCTGGGTGCAGTGGCTCACACCTGTAATCCCTGCACTTTGGGAGGCTGAGGCAGGTGGATATCTTGAGGCCAGGAGTTCAAGCCTGGCCAACATGGTGAAACCCCGTCTCTACTAAAAACACAAAAATTAGCTGGGGGTGGTGGTGGGTACCTTGTAATCCCAGCTCCTCCGGAGGCTGAGACAGGGAATCACTTGAACCTGGGAGGTGGAGGTTGCAGTGAGCAAAGATTGCGCCACTACATTCCAGCCTGGGCGAGAGAATGCGACTCCATCTCAAAAAATAAAAATAAATATTTTTTTTAAAAAAAAGGACATATACTTAAGAGGTCACTTAAGCAGATAGTAAAATGAACAAAGGCACTCTCCTTGTCTTAGGAAAGTCATTGGCCCACAATGGCAGATTCTGACTAACTGGTGGTTTCCTCACTACCTAAACTCAGCTCTGAGACCTCTTGCCTGGCATTCAAGACCTCAGACTACCTCCCACTATTCCCTGAGAGGCTCCGAATCTGCGCCACTCACTTCATCTCAACTTCACTTACATTGCTAATTATTTCACACAGGTACGTTTTGTCTTTCCAGAGGCCTCATCTTGTATCTCTTTGACATTATCCTGAGTCTCTTGCACAGTGCTGGACACTGTGCAACTCAATATATTATATTTTGTGTTAAATTCCAAGGCCAAGCACACACCCCCATGACTATCTTATCAACAAAAAAGATCTCTCAGAGTGCTTGCTTTCTTTTAAATGCCATGCTTTGGCTGGGTGCAGTGGCTCACACCTATAATCCCAGCATTTTGGGAGGCCAAGGCAGTAGGATCACTTGATCCCAGCCTGGGCAACACAGTTAGATCCTGTCTCCCTCTCTCTCTCTTTTTTTTGAGATAGGGTCTGGCTCTGTTGCCCAGGCTGGAGTGTAGTCGTGTGATCTCAGCTCACTGCAGCCTCCACCTCCTGGACTTAAGCCGTCCTCCTACTTCAGCCTCCCAGGTAGCTGGGACCACAGGTGCACAGCACCACACCCAGCTAAGTTTTGTATTTTTTTTTTTTTTGTA